GCCAGCACTCACAGAATTATAAGAAAGGTTGCCAGTTATATATATATATATATATATATAAACAGAGGCTTGTTGCACAGTGTCAAAAGTTTGTGGTTAAAGTTGGAATATTTTTACGTTCTTAAAAACTGTGAGTAATACATTTATTCAGATGTTGTCAGAGAAATCATATGTACGTGCCTATATGACATAGCACTAATTATTAGTACAACCTACACCATTATCTATTTTTAGATAATTAAATCAATATTAGTCTCAAACAGTCAAAATGCACTGTACTATTGTGAGAAACACTAATTTAAGTATCATAACATAGTATTTATTATGAAATTCAGTAGTTCTGTATTTGAAGTTTGTACATATGAACATACACCATTGATAAAATCTCAACTCTTTTACAAGCGGAAAAAAAAAAAAAAGATTCCATGGATTTGTCACGACTTGGCTTTTTACTCTAAGAGGAAATTCAAAATTACCACCAGTCTTTCTATTAATGTAAAATAATAAAATAAACATTTTACAGATTTCGTATTTTCAGCACTACATTTTTTCGGTAATATTATTCACCTGTGAATAGTTAGAAGCCTATGTTGTTAACCAGTCAGGAACTGTGAATGAAATATTGAGTGCAAAAATCTATTTTCATTTCACAACTTCATGTAGGAACACAGGAGACTTGCATAAATATAGGCAAATTGTGAATTACAGTACTTTTCGAGCAACAAGACAACTTTTAGCCATGGTCCATAATGTCGCACAGTTCATAATAACATGTACTACATTATCAAATTCAGTACTTCTTGCGTTTTTACCACAAGATGTTTCTACTCTAAATCTAATATCAGCAGTAATCCATACGGCTTTTTTAATATAAAAGAGCTTAAAGATAATTTCACTTTACTTCACAGTTTGCATTTTCATAAGGGCAATAAACAATTTTGCTACATTGTCAATTTATAGCAGTAGGTCATATTCCAAAGTAGAAGCCACTAGATAAAGATGTAAGCAACTCAACTTCCTAACACACCGTATTTTTTGACCAAGAAGCGAGTCTAATCAAAATTTGTATTGACAATACACTGAATAGTACTACAAAATAACCTCCTATGTAATGTATTACAAGTTGATTGCCAACATAGTGATCTTTGGAGTAAAATGAGCAATGCTGTGACACTGGAGATTCCCCTCCTTACCTGCTCAATCTAAATAATACTTAAATTAGCTTTAGAGTAGAAGCATCTTGTGGTAAAAATTTAAGAAGTACTGAATTTTATAATGTAGTACTTGATATTATGAACTATGCATCATCATGGGCCATGGCTAAAAGTCGTATTGTTGCTATAGAGCTAGTGTGCAAATAGATATAAGATAAACACATTATTAGTAACATGTTCCACATGTGTTAGACCATATTTCATTTGAATAAAATTGGTGCATACAGATTAGTTTCATTAGCTTTATTATGTCAAAGTTATGGCTGACTTTGTTTAGCACACACAAATATAGTCAGTGTACTTTGTGAATGAGCACACTCCTACCTTTCATTAGAGTAAATATGAGTACAATAATTTTTCTAAACAGTTTATGTTGAAATTAAATTAATATTTCATGGCAGAATGTATATAGAACTGTTATTCTTTCAAAGCAGAAAGATTCTGTTACCATTTACATGTAGTGTCTTTGATATTTGGTTTTTATTAGCTAATTATTCCCTTCTTGAATGCACATATTTACAAGGTTTAATAGAGTTTTTGAAATTTCAAAATTTTATGGATGTTTTATGTGCTAAGACAGAAAATGATGATTTACACAGCTTTTGATTGGATATTACAGAATGTAACGAATACATGACATAATGAATAATTTTTATGGCTGAGAGCTGCACACATGTGATTCAAAGATTAACAGAAATGAGTTCCTACCACAATTCGTGTTTGCAAAATATGTTAAAATGTTTTGGTGGGTCATCTTTTCCTTTAAAAAAGGTATAGAACAAAGTTCAAAAATACAGATTACTTCTCCTACAGTTCTATAGTATACAAAATACCAGTTTCAAACAGTAAAAACATTTATTCATAGGCGACACAAGAAATTACTGTTATATTATTCAAAAAATAGAACATATAAGAAGTTACTATTATATAGTCTAAAAAAGGACACTATACAATGTTACTTTTATACGATTCAAATAATGGCACTTCAAAAAGCTACTGTTGTATAATTAAAATAAGGAAACTACAAGATGTTACTGTCCCTCAGTGGCACAGTGGTATGTCTGCGGACCTACAACGTTAGAAACCGGGTTTCGATATCCGTAGTGGGCAGATCACAGATAGCCCATTGTGTAGCTTTGCGCTTAACTCCAAACAACAACAAGATGTTACTATTATATGATTCAAAAAGGGCTATACAAAGCTACTATTATATGATTCACATTAAGGCAGTATTCGATATTACTATTATATGATTCACATTAAGGCAGTATTCGATATTACTATTATATGATTCACATTAAGGCAGTATTCGATATTACTATTATATGATTCAAATAAGGGCAGTATCAGAAATAATATGATTTCTATAAGGACAGCATAACTATTAGAAGTCAACTATTACATGTATATCACAAGAAAGAAACCCGGGAAGTAAGAAGTGTACAGTCACATTTGATATACTCATATTATACAAGCGCCATGGAAATACTGTGCATTTTTTATAAGTATATCACAGAGCATTAAGATAATAAAAATATGCCAACATCTGGTAAACAAACCTGATTAAGTATTTTAGTAAATTAGTCTAATATTTTGTAAAAGTACAATAAGATACTACCCTACACACGTCGATATTCTGTTTCAGTAAAAGCATATTCGTTCATTACGTCACTAAAAAAGGTACTACATGAACGTTGTTGACCTAAAACATTCGTGTTGTACAAACCCTCACCTTGTTTTTACCAAGAGTTTAGATGGCGGCACTTCACTAGCTGTCCAAATTGAGTGTAAATACTCTTCGCTGTGCTGAATAACATACAGCTACATTCAAGAAGAAGGAGACAGAGCAGTTCAGCTGAAACTTGAAAGTAATGCCTACTTTGGAAGGTAAGGTAAAATGGAAGTGACTGAGGCCCTTACACAGTCGAGCATTAGATCGATCCAAAACACACCGGCATTGTGTATTTACAAGTCTTTGATTCACGTATACATATAGATGAAGCTGCAGTAAGCTTGTGCAACAGTCAACTTGTTAATACTGACGGTAAATGAACAACATTATGCTGAAATCGATATTAGCTGATCACTGATACTTTATCATAAAGTTCCTGCCTCGTCTAGGGAACAAACGCTTTGACCAAACCTTTACTCAAGTTCTGCGCACCGTCTGCTTCGCTTGTATTAGCCGGGTCACGAGGAAGCCATCTTGGAAGGGCGCTCACACTAACACACGCATGAATACATGCAAGCTCACGTCTTCGACTGACGGCGGGGAAAGCGTAAGCACGTTCCTCTTTTTCGCGTACAATGGGTCGGGAGAAAGAGGGTCACGATCTAGAGGGCAGCTTCTACTTCCCCCAGGGTGGGGAAGTTCGGTGGAGCAAACAAGTATATTCAAATTTAGTGCTGTTTGTTCGAAAACTACCAAGCGGTGCTCCTTCAAAGAGCACCGAAGTATCTGTGAGACCACCAGTAATAATACATTCCTGAGTGACTATATATATATACATATGTGTGTGTTATTTCACTGTAAAAAAAAGGTGCTCCAAGACATTTTTTTCGAAGAAACGAGGTGTTCTTTTATGTTTGTTTCACTCAATTCACAGCTTCGTAAATCGCATAGTTACATAAAAAAGTTTATTATAATCTTTGGTTGTTTCGAGGACTAAAATCGAGCATTGTTTAGAAGTAAGAGAGAGTGAAAAAAATATACGAGTGTATGGTTGACGCGAATCATAAATATATATTTTAAAGAAAGCGTAAGGAATATGGCGGTTAAATTTTCGATTTTTTTTCTGTTTTGTTTAAGTTAATCTAGTTATTTTGCTTTCTGAAATTAATCATAACAAAGTCTAATATGTTATTTAAATCAGCGTAAAAAATAAATTCCTTTACGCTCTGTCTCATACAGTATATGCAGAGTATTTTGTTTGACCGTAGCTAAAATATTGGATGAATGATCTGGGTTTTTTTTGATTGTTTGTATATTGTGATGAAGACAAGTAAACACTCTTCCCCCCCCCCACCTTCTCCCCATCAACAATTCCACTGTTTATTCAAGTACTCTGTTCAACTAAATTCAACTGTCAATACAAAACTTGTTGTAAAGCAGATATATCCGTGTATTCGTCATGTTAATCGTGCTCGAGCGCTTAAGGTCGCATCATAATACACATGGAATTCTCGAGGTCATTTTAGCAACATCTTATCCTAAGCTCGGGAGGCTGTATGTTGCTGGGGCACTGAAAAGTTTGCTGTTTTTTTTATCTCTGTCTTCTAACTTAATGTATCAAAAATAGCGTTATCTCTAAAAAAAAAAAAATCTGATTTTCTTCGCAAGACGCTTCTTCTATGGTACAGAATATCTAATTAATAATTGTTCATCACGAATGCTATTTTACTGTGTGGCAAAGGTGACACACTTTATCATTTAATGCACGGAGAAAATATAGTACCACACCTGACATTAGCAATGCTTTATCAGTTCCAGTACACTCTCATGAAATACAAATGAAATCACCGACCAGGTGTGAATGTTTACAAACTATATTTACACATTCAAGACTGCGCCGATTTTGTCCTTCTCACTGTGTTACTGACTACCGCTTCTAAAACGTAACACACACATACACAATATATATATATATATCTTACTCAATTGTTTGAATTATTTTTTTATTTCCAGTTTCAAGTGGTAAAATAATTGGTTTTAGTGTGGACAACTGAGAAACAAGATCATAATATTGTTTGTCGTCCAGAGTGTTCGTGTCAAGTGTTCTAAAATGCGTATATTTTCTACAGTTGCGGTTACTTGCCACTATAATGAAGCAGAACGTCACACTGTGAATTATAGTTCCACCTGATTTCTCAAGTTCGATCAACGAAATAGACCCACCCTGGTGGCTCAGCGGTAAGCCCCATGGCTTATAACGATAAAAATCGAGTTTCGATACCTGTGGTGAGCATAGCCCAAATAGCTCATTGTGTAGCTTTGTGCTTAACAGCAAACAAATCAACGAAATAAGTAACTTTTCTGTTTAAATGAAAACAACAACAACATAATAATAATAATAATATTGAAGCTAAATGATCGGTCACATTTTGTTATCACATCAATAATTTACTTCCCAAACGAGATCACAGAATAGAAATCAGTTTACTATATTACTTAAGGTGAAAACAATTCGAAACAGAAAACATATAAAAGTGCTTGAGTCTAGCCAGTCAGAAATATATAATAAAGTTTTTAATAGAAAATTATCAAATTTGTTAATTTTCTCACTAAAGTTTATGCAGACGAAACTTATTTGTGTGAACGTGTCTCTATTCACATTTGTGTTTAGGTTGTATTGCTGAAGTAGTATTGACGTTTCAAGAACTTCTTACATTGTGAAAGGCTCGTCGAAAACAATTCGCACATGCCGTGGCCTTGGTTAAAGCTCGTGACTGACAATATAAAATCATTAAGTAAACGAATAAGATGATCGAGGATTTTGTTTTGCATTGAACGTCGGATATGTGGCTGTCTTTTTTTTTATATACACGGTGTAGAATTTAAACTTAAGTTACCTGCTGGCTAGACAGTCGAATATTTTGATTCGACGATGTTTGTATCATTCAGACAGATAAAAAAAAATCAAATATGGAATAAGCATGAAATGATTAACTATTCAGGTAATGTTGGTTAGTACCTTTAGATTACAGCGAAAATATCTGAGTCAAAGCAATTGGGTTGTGTCGCAAGTCTTACTATGATCGTGATTCATCCTTACCTCCAATAATCACAAAATGTACTATATTAACGAGCTTAAACTGGATTTTTCTTACATTGTTGAATGTTGCTGAGACCAGCGGTTTCACTGAAATATATTTTTAGTTTATAATAAGCATGTTCAGCTTGCTTGAGAATAAATCGGTGTAATACTTATGCATCTCAAGAGCACAAAGTCGGCGTACTATACCAATGACTAATAAAACAGTCTATTTACTAGAAGCAACAAAACAGGTCATTAACTATGCAGAAAAATGTGACCCAACAAGCCCCATAACACAACCATCTGAGAAACGACGGACTTGAAGAGCGTACGTAAGAAGTAAAACCATAGCCCAGGTTAACAACTTGCTAATTGACTCTTCGAAAGACACGCCGCCAGGAGTTTTCTAAAAAATCGCTTTCTCCTGCCTGGCAACCAAGGAAGGTTTTTGAAGTTGATACGCTTTTGTGTCTACTAGCCGTCTAATTAATAAGTACAGCACCATATATCTTAATTCATGCTGAGTTAACATGTAATATTGTATCTGTATACCCTGAGGATTCCAACATCAGACTGCAATAAATCAAGGTTGAAAGAACTGAATAAATTAGTGTGTTTTTATAAAGAGTTAAAATAGTATGAATGCTCACTTGGCGTAAGAGATATAATAGGAAATACAAAAGTTGGATTACTGTAATGGTAAATTCAACGAAGTGAGCAGAAAAATACAGGGATTTTTTTGTAGGTAGTTTTAACAAATATTACTCATACGAATGGCAGAAACTTTCTCACTGGTCTGGAGGAAATAATATTTGAAAATATATTTTGTACATAAATCAGAAATCCAGAATATCAACCAGCAAAATGGAACAAACCAAATGTACAAAAGCACAATACATCTATATGAAGTCGAAAAGCCAATAAACTAAGTGATAAGAGACTTAGGCTATATATGACCATTTAATGTTAAATCTGGTCAAGTATTCAATCCTTTACTTCTAAAGCTGATCCAATTAAATTAAGGACATGTAGTTAACAGTTTCGTTTCCTGAACATACGCAAGTTGGGGTAGAGCATGACTCCTCAATGCTAATTGGCTGGACATCAACAACTGAGAAGTCAGAGACAGTCATATATGATCACACATATATGTTAACTGCTTGCAAGTCATAAAGTCATAATGCAATATTAAAACGGAAATATTTTAAATTTTCAATATTTTTAAGTTGAAGGGTAATGTTTGTCCTGGGGGGGCAACATTGAAACACAAAATGCACACTAGCGATTAAATTCTGAAGACAATCCAATGAAGAGCTAGAGACAATTGTATGTCATCAGTTTAAAAGGGTGAAAGTTCACACGATATAGTTTCTTATGTGGTACTTACAAATGAAACTTAACCCAACAGGTAAGTCTAAAGACGAAATACGAGAGTTTGGAAATGATCTGCTTACAGAAAAATAAAATAAAGATGAACAATTGGTTTGGTTAGTTGGTTTGTTGTTAAGAAATAAGCCACACCACGGGTATCGAAACTTGGTTTTTAGCGTTATAGAAGAATAAATGTTTAGTAATTTTCAACTACCACATTTCATCTTTCCTATCTCTGGGCTTTATTAGGTCCAACTTTTAAAAATTATTTTTTAAAGGCCGAATATAGGAGCCTAAACTAACGTTAAAGTCATGTTCACAAGTTGAAATAATCGCTAATGATTAGAATATGCTGATTAATTATTTAGTTTTTGGTGCCGGTACAATTCTCTCTTGGAGTCTTTTGTGATGTGCCCAGTTTTATTCCTGAGCAGCATACATGATACGGTGTCTATACCACTTCTCAACATCTTTTTGCTAATACAGCCAGAAAACCTGCTTTCAACATTTCCAAGAGTATGTCGCTCTCCTTTGTGACCTCCAGTTCAAAGTTTCTTCAACCTTAGAGATTTAAGGATCAGTAAGTGCATCACTAAGTGGCAATCATGGCTCGTAAGAATTGTACAGCACATCATTTTGCACTCATAACGAATCATTTAGTTACATCATCAGGATTACATTTGCTGGTTTGTGACGGTCACACTTCACCTTTTTTGTACAAGTTATGTCCAAAACTATGTCTGAGTTCCTCGTTACTCTTCTTAAGGCTATTGATAAGTCATCTCTGACATTCATACATAAGCAGTATTGTCACTGTTTATATAATTCATTGTCATTATTGCTTTGACTGTTTCACAGCTTCCAGGACTCAGCTCTTCTACAAATGCAGATTCTTTCACCAATTGGTGAAATAATTCATCAGTGTTTTCATGCTGCTCATCTCAGCAGTGTTATACAACGACATATAATAATCTGTGGAATTAAATTTTCTAGATCAGTCAAATCACTGAAATAATGAATAATGGTGGTAATGTTTGACAAATTATATAACTGCAAGAAGTTTCTTCTTTGCCATACATTTATGGGTTTTAAGCTGTTGAGATGTAAATATGGTCATTCCACTCCTGCTTAGCATTTGACCAAGATATTTCACTTTTCTGGTTTTCAAATTTAAACCAGTTTTCAGTGGTGTCCTGATATGTGCGACCAAAATCAAATGAGCCATCTCTCCCAATGCAGCCCTCTAAGTGTAAGCACCATCATCTCGCTGAATAACATGATACAGAATTCATGCAATCCTTTGTAAGTTTGACTTGCCAGAAGCTAGAAGCCAGATCTAGCATACAGAACCAATGTAAACTTTTCAGTGCACCTAAATTGTCAGTTTTTATGTATGAGCTTGATTCTTTACAGTAAGTGTCTGTGACTTGTTGCCAATAAACTTTAACAATAAATAAACAACACACAGTCCTCTTGTTTTAAAATAATATATTAAAACAAGTCAAACGTATATACAAATGTTCGTCATACTGCTGGTTATCACAGTTGTATCCAGAACTTTAAATAATTGTCTCTTTTTCGTCAAATTCCGCACAGGCTGGTTCAATCACTTTAGAACAAAATTTGACAAGAAGAATTATTCTTCTCTACTCTGTTATTACAATACAATCTGTGATAATTTTACTTTAAAAATCACCAATATACGCTCTTTATGGCTGAACTCATAATCACGCAGCCTAGATCTATCTATCAAACAACATTTTTGACGCGTATTTATACCCTGACAGAGGTCTAGAACGTCCCACACGCTACTAGTTATTATGATGCAAGACTACTCAATTAAAACAAAGAGAAAACTCAGAAGGTTCTAGTAACACGACGCAATAATATAATAATCACCAATTCATAACTATTGAACTACACAACATATGATTCGTAAAAAAAAATACATAAACAAACTTCCGATAAACTATCGCTTCTAAAAATAACTAAGTTAACACTTACACTATACAAACTATATAAGTCATAACACTCGCATTAAGCTAAGATGGAAACAGTCGTTTCTATCTAACAAGAAGCACCCCCCTCCAAGAAAATATTTACAAATAAAAATATTTATATACAAAGACTGTTTTCAGTTCATGCACAAAGTCTGCACCAACATTTGAGGTCCCTTGGTGACCCCAATGCGGAATCGGTACTTTTGGAGATACAACACCTACTTCATGATTCCTGCACCGTCGATTTTGCAGCTCTTGATATTTGCAAGGGCTGATGGTCCAACTGGATGATGACCCCCTTCTCGTAGAGGTAGTTCTGGAATTTTTGGATGGCAAATATTATGGCTAGACACTCTTGTTCAATAACAGAGTAGTTCCTCTCACTACTCAACAGCTTTTTACTGACGGAAAACAGTCCGTCTACATGCTCTTGTAGAAGTACTGCTTCAATTCCAACGTCTGATGCATCAGTCAGAAAGACGAATGGTTTGTTGAAGTCTGGAATTTTAAGGATTGGTGAACTTCCTAACATTTTCTTCAACTTATGGAATACAATCTACTGTGGTTGTCTCTACTTCACCTTGTTTGGTTGGCCTTTCTTGAACAGGTCAGTCAGTGGTGCAGCGATTTCAGTGTAGTTTGTGATGAGCTTCCTATAGTATCCCACTAACCCTAGGAAGGATCTGATTTGCTGTTTGGTCGTCGGAGCTGGTGCATCTTGTATGTGGGTTAGCTTCTTCTCTTCCATGGCTATCTGTCGGTCGCCCACCTTGTGTCCAACAAAGTCCAGCACAGAAGAACCAATGTAACACTTAGATGGTCTGATGGTCAGACTTGCTGCCCTCACTCACCCAAACAGCTCTCTGAGTTGATTCAGGTGGTCTTCCCATTTGGCTGTGTGGGTCAGAATGTCGTCCACATAATTCTCTATGTTTGTGGTTTTGTGCAACAAATATATGTATTCATTTCAAACAAGGGAAAAGATAAATGCATGTTCCTGTGTTCACCCATTTAAGCTCCATGCTGAACCTTGGCTTCATTTCTCTTTTTACAATTACCACTAGGAATATCAAGCATTTTCTGAAGATTGTATTATCCAATTTTTCAACGTACACTTGATGTAAGCATTGGCAATGTTCCTTCAAATACCGCTGTTATTTTGTTGGACCTGCAAACACCTGTGTATAAGTGATGATATGTTTTTGTTGTTCTCCTCAAGTGCCCTTCTGGACCAACATACAAATTAGTAGATCCAATTAGCGATTTGTTAAGTTCTTGTCACTGTGTTGAGGTGCTTCTCATTTGTTTTGAACGTGATACAGTTATAGTGACAGCCTTTGCTTGCTTGATAAAAGAGTTTACACAAAGGATCAAATATAAAGTGTAATAAACTTAAAATAAGACCCAAAATTCGAGCGCTTTCGAATAGTTGATTATTCTTCTTCAGGAGAACAAAGAACTGTAGAAGAATAGTCAATTATTCGAAAGCGCTCGAGTTTTGGGTCTTATTTTAAGCATTTGCTTGTTATCATTCTTCTTGCAGCTGTTTGGCATTGACTGGAATGTAATTTACATCCACTGCTCCTGACTCATAACATGATGTGGTAAGCTACAGTTAAACAGGCTTCATTTCTTACATTCTACTCATCTTTATGGGAGCTTTTCCTTCTGCAGTGGTAGCATAGTGGTGCCTGGAAAGGCATGCTCTCATTTTGAAAATCATGGTGACTACTTCATGACGTCTGGCCTTGCGTGGCTGTAGATCTGTTAGACAACATCTATGTTGAGACTGTGGTGTTGCCATTGAGCATTATGTTTTTTGTGGAGCAAGATTAGTCATTTCAGCAACTTTTGTTGGCTACTTCTTCTGCTCCAGCATCCAGTTCAATGTGATCATCACAACTATGTCATATAGAAACATTCTTAGTCAAAGATAAAATGACTCTGATACTATGTGATGCTATATGGATTCACTCATTAGCTCTTCCAAGAAATTATCTATGAGGATGTTATCATCATACAGTTGTCTTAGATCATTCACATGAGCGCCACAAAATCAAGTATTGAAATTTGCCCTATGAATTGCTCAATTCTCCAGAGGATCAAATCTGTAACACAATCTGAATAAAACTTTTAGGGAAATAGTCTAGTTTGTCTTTCAATTTCCTTTTCAGCACTGGTGGGTTAGATTGATTCACATAATATCCACCGTCACATAGTGGTATAGGTGTGTTATATGAAATATCTTTATTATTGTTTACATATAGGCATTCTAGTGCAAGTAAGTATGTATAGATGGCAGAGAAAAGGAGTTCGTTTGTTGAAAGTGAAGATTATTATGCAGATAACATGAAAAGTGATCGAATGTGTAGAAATTAGATTGCGCTGTTAGAGCAATGTAACATATAAAACTTACATTGCATCAGGGCTTAATAATTTTAACCAATCCGTATTATGTAATTAAATAAAAAAGAATGAGAAGGCAAGATTTATAAACGCTCCCCAGTTGAATATGATGATCTGTACATTACATTTACTTCATTAACACACTGGGTATTAGCACAAAGGAAGCTATTGAACTAGGGCTGCACCGGTGGAAAACAAGTGTAACAACTGCTATGCTATTCATCATTGCACTAACTTTCATAGAGCAAGGATTTCTTATCTGATTGTGATTTCTTTTCAATTTAGATGAAGATCGGATCTCAACAAACTGTCAAGAACAAGTACTGCCTGTATCTAGAATAAACTTTACTCAAAAACACATTTTTTACTATTTTCAGTGCATTTTAAACAGAAATATATTTCAAATACTTTAATTACTGCTGTTATGATTTTGTGTAATTGCACTTCCAGAATATGAGAAGTAAAACGTAAAATATTAGATAATAGCACATATTCCTTTTACCTTCTACACAGTTATAACACATTTTTGTGGCTTTTATTTTCATGATGAAACGTTTTCATTTTTGAAATATTATGTGAAAAACAATATTATTGAGGTTTTACAACACATATGAACTTGAGATTTTTTTAAAGTCACATTTAGTTGAGTAGAAACTCTGTACATCTTAAAGAATACAAACATGTAAGTATTCAGTATACGTTTGCAGTGTAAATTATATATTGTTTTTAGTGTTCGTATTTTTTTTTTCACAGGTCAGATCACAAATTGTGAGTGAAATCAGTTTTGAAATGGACAAACAAGGTGGCATAAAAAGAAACATTTCCGATTTCCATCAAATAAAGTTGAAGTAGACACCATTGATGAAGATGATGTCCTCCATCGGCTCAAAAAGGTCTCTCTTGAAACTTCTGTTCTTATAAGAAGGGTCTTAGATACTGACAATGCATCAGATGATGAATAACTACCACCGGTTCATTCACGATTGCACTTCTATAGATCTTTGGATAGGTTCATTTTTACTTTAACTATATTTATTTGTATTTAATTCAACAAAGATAATTTCAGCATTACTGAATATACTTATTAGAGCAATGTGTATTTAATAGTACAAGGATTATTCTTTTTACAGTTGCTGATTAGTTTATGTGAAGCAGAACATTCTACAATTTCATTTGAAGAACTGAAAGAAAAATTCATTCTCCAGCTTTATGCATTTCTCCCAACCAATCAAGAGACAGATTAAGAACTTAGAAAAGTGACTAGGTCTTTCATACAAGATAATTCTAAACAGTGAAATATGATAATTCAGACCTAAGCAAAACATAGGCAGTTAATATTGGATTTTTTAATGAAGTTAAAGCAAAGTAACTCTGTGTAGAGACCACGAGTTGCAATATCGTGTATTGGTCATTGACACATCATATACAATGATGCCTGCTTCACCAGATGCTGTACGAATTTGTATTTATTAAGAAACAAGCCTACTTTAGATGAAATGTTAATTTAAACACAATAATAAATTAGTGTCTGAAATCTGTGACGCTGACAAATATTTTTTATTTGCAGAAAAATACATTAGATTATAAACGGACACATAAATATTACACACACAAATTCAGTTTCAAATGTATATTATTTACACCTTAAATGGAATTACTGTTCTGTTCAAAGTATAGAATATCATCTGGAATTTATGAATGATTTGATTAAAGAATGTATTGATTTTTACTTTGAGCATACTGGGCCTAAAAGTATGTACCACTAAATGGAAAATTAGAAACACGAGAATATAGAGAGAAGATCTGTGTCTGTAAATACGTAAACACTTCGTAAAAGAACATAATCACTAATATTGTATGTTTATGCATGAATATATTACCTAAGTCAAAGTTACTGTAGTTGTGATTGTTATTTTTTCAAAATACTTATTTGACATGACCTGTTACAAAAATGCAAACCAATGAAATATGTGTATTTAAAATCAGTAAACAGAGAAGGGTAAACAAATTAAAACAGAGGATTTTCGTGTTTGTAAATATGCAAACGGTTTGGAAAAGGGACGAAAGCTCTAATACTGAAAGTTTGAGTTTTGGTGAATTCGTTACCTCAGTTAAACTTACTAAAGTCATGAATTTAGTTTTTCGTTATACTTGTTATGTGACACTACCTATTATATAATGCAAGAATATAATACACATGTATTTCAAAATCAACAAATGGACTGATACAGTTTTTGTTTGTTTG